CAGGTGGATCACAAGGTCAGGAGATCGAGACCATCCTAGCCAACATGGTGAAACCCCATCTCTACTAAAAATACAAAAATTAGCTGGGTGTGGTAGCAATTCCTGTAATCCCAGCTACTCGGGAGGCTGAGACAGGAGAATCTCTTGAACCTAGGAAGGCAGAGATTGCAGTGAGCTGAGATTGCATCACTGCACTCCAGCCTGGAGATAAGTAAGACTCTGTCACGAAAAAACAAAAATAAAAATTTAAATTTAAAAAATTGTATTCATATATAAAGTACTTAGCATAGCGTCAAGCATGCAGCAGGCACTCTGGGTGGTTAAAAGAGGGGCTGCGTGGGAGGAATGAGACTGGGCATGCAAGGGCTGAATGCTGTCGGCAAAGGGCTTGGCATGCCATGCTGTGGAGGTCAGACTGCATCCTGGAGGCAACAGGGATCTTCATCAGGCATGTAATTTCATTTTTAGAAACACATTTTTGGCAACAGTTTGGAGGAAGGATTTATTTACATTTTACACTCTCTTTGACCTCTGCTAAAGATTTTGATTGTATCTCAGCTCTCCACTGTGATATTTAAAGCAGATTTAAAATTTGAGATAATTCCTAGTCACATTATTTCTGCCTCAGGTCAATTTTAATTTCAATTCTATTTGTGGATTATTGGGATAGCATCCAGTATTTCCTTAAGCCTGCATTTCTCCCAAGCAGATATCTTCTGCTAAAATATACATTCTGAAAAAGATTTTTTTTCCCTACACAGCATAATTAGATGGACTTTCTTTTTCAGTTTTATTTGTGACATCTGGTTTGATGCAATGGAAGCTGTTCCAAGTTACTGGAAAAACACTTGATAATGTTATTCTGCTACTTTTCCCAGAGCCAGTACTTTATGAAATAATGTCCACACACACCTATAATGAGAATTCTAGAACATAAAATCAATACAATAGCCCACAAATTTTTCTGAGCTGTAACTTGCAACTTTTTGCCTTTTCCATTCTTGCTGGTGATGAGGAAATGTTCAATAAATGAACCATAACCAATTCCATATGGTGTACTACTGGGTTCCAACGCACTTTTATCATAGTTTTCCTTCTCCAGTTATATTATTTTAACTTTTATTTTTCCATCATCACCAATATTTTCTGTGGGTTTTCTCTTTAAATTCTGCACAGCAAATTGCTTCAGGTTCTGAGGCTACCATTAAATAAAGCACACCAAAATCTACTTCAGTTAAACAAAAGTCAAGTTACTCTTGACTTTTCCAAAACCAGAGTAACATCCCACACACAACTAATACATCTGAATTTGTCTGCAGTGATCTATGAAAGCTTCCATGTGTGGCTTGAGCAGGAATTAAAAGGTCTTGGGATGAGAAATGAATGATGAGTATAATCACAGAACCAATTCTCTTCCATGCTCTTGGACACTGAAGGCATTTTCTAAAATGAGAAGAGACTTTAAACAGGCATGATCTAATGTAGGTTCCGAAAGTCTATAAAATTAACGTCACCCCCTCTAGTAGGTAAGCATGGGGTTTTCCATCAATTCCACCTGTCCAGGAAATAAGCTAAACTGGGTAACACATGAGACTATAGAGAGTCACCAAGGCTGGAAAGGTGTAGAAGAGGACAGAGTTTTGTCTTGTCTTAAAAAAATATGTCCTGATCTAGAAAAAAATCACGTGAGAAAAGATTTCAGAAAACAAAAGAATAAAAGCAACATATTGCCACATATTGGGGACTTTCTGCAGGTTTCTACCTCTGGACTGTGACTTCTATCCTTATTCCTTGTCCTGCAAAAGCTTTATCAAAAGAAACGGTAAGATCAGGGGCCATATAAGGTTTTTTTTTCCAATATGAAATGAACAGAACTGGGGCAAATTCAAAGGCTTTTTTTTATAGGCAAGGTAGAAGGAAGTCTGAGGGATGCTCCTATCATACAATTTATTCTCCTATAGCAAGAGAGGAAAAAAGGGAACTCAAACACCAGCTCTCCAATATTTCTTTTTCCCTCAAGAAAACCTGGGTATAGTTAATTCCTCCAACAAAGAGATCACACAGACTGCTGAAATGGCTTTACTTCCACTATTGATGGCCATCGCTCCCCAAGGCCGCCGCTCCATTCCTACTGAGAGATAAAAATCACAACAAACACTCTCATAGTGCTCATTTGGTTACATTACCTTCATAAAACAGATAGGCTTATTATTATTCCCATTTTAGAGAGAAAGAAGCTGAGAACCAAAGAGCTTGAGTGACTTTGCAAAGGATGTAAGAAGCTGCTGTGTCATGGAGCTGGAATTTAAACTCAGGCAATTTAGTTCCATGGTCCGTGCTCATAAGCACTGCCTTCTTCCCAAGGGCACATTTTATGGTTCAGGTGCACAGTCATAGCTAAAGATCAAGTTCTGCTGGTTATGTTTAAGACAAATTAGAGAGAGGCACAGACAGATAAGTTTCAAAGGGGAAAGGGAAGAAAATGTACGTGTAAATTTTATTGTCTTCTACATGCTCATAAAAGGCAAATGCGTCTCTTGCTTGACTATTTCAAAGTATAGGGCAGAGAAAGAAATACAATGTGGTGAATTATGTTTATCAATAAATACCTGTTGAATTAATACATGCAAAAAACTTGTTCCTCTGTACCTTGGGACAGATTAATATTTGCTTTAGGATTTTGAGGCAATAAAAATACTGCCTGATACATAGTCTGGTGATGCTAAATCTGATCGCCAGCATAGGAATTGAATAGAACACCCATGAGAAATAATAGAGTGTTTGAAGGAACTAAAGATAATTACCCAGAAGGAAAGAAAATACAGGAACCAGGAACACCTTATGGATGTCTCTAAACATTTGCAGCCTGCCATATGAACCATAGAGTGGACTTGCTTTGTCATGTTCTAGAGAGCAGACTAGGTCCATGACAGGGAAAATTTTGGAAACAAATTACAGAGCGCTGAATGACCACAGATACTGTGCTGGAAATTATACGTCCCATGAGAGCACTGGCAAGATCTCTGTCCTAACTACAAACCCCAAAATGCTATTATTCTTCATAGAATTTGCATCCATGTTGAATACCAGTTTGAAAAACAAATAGTTGAACTACATACAGCTAGGAACTCTATTTAGGCTGGAGATATGGAGCTGAACAAGATTTCACAAGAGGTCTAAAAAGAGAGGTAAAACAAGTTTATATCTTAGATGGCAGATGGATTGAAATATGCTAAGTACCCTAGAGGCAAAGAATTATAAGGCTTTTGATTTTGATCAGGAAAGAAATTTAGAAATAATGTATTCAATATCTCAAATTTTTTGAGAGATAAAACAGGCCCCGGGATGATATGGGGATATTCTCTAACCTCAGACTGCTAAAAAATGAGCTAAGAAGAAAAATCATTTTCCATCTTCACAGTTTACTCCTTCTGCTATGACAATAAGTATTTAGTGGGTTGTTTTATAGGCATGAAATAATTCTTCATGGTAATATCTCTTTCTTAGTCTTCTCTTTTATAACTATTTGATATTATAATGATCTTTAGGTAGCTTTTCTTAGAAATTTAAGCATGGAAGTTCCACGTGTACATTTAGTTTTAGTCTTTGGATGGTTAAATAGGAAGACATAGTGCTGGTTGAGTGTGGATATTATCATTGCATAATTTTTTGGACCAATTCTTATTTTTTCAATCACACTGCCTTTATTGTTAGCTAGAATGCCTGTAAGATCCAAGAATTTTCTCTTCCTGTGTCATCACCAAGCACCCAAATTGCTCAAGTCAAAGGCCTAAGTTTCTCCCCTTCACTCATCAAAAGCAGCCCATTTTGGACTTCCTACTTCCACACAATAAAATATGTCTCCTCCTTTCCCTCTGCACTGTCCCTACCCTTGATTAACATAATCTTTTACCTGGGTTTCTGTAATATCATCCTACCTAGTTCCTTGGCTTTCAGCCTTGCTGCTTTACAATTCATTCTTTACATATGGCAAGAGGGAAATTTTTGAAACATAGGTAAGATTGTCACTCTCCTGCATAAGACCCTTATGGCTCCCATTTCCCTCAGAACAAACTCAAAAGCATAGCCTACTGGATCTATGTGATCTCACCCCTGAGTGCCTTTCCAAGATCATTTCTTTCTACTTTTCTCCCTTCTGATTAGATGCACCCACATACACTCCTCTTTTATTCTTAAATGCACTAAGCTCTTTTCCTGTCTTGCATTCTTTATGCTTGTGTTCATGCCTGGAGTACCCTTTCTCCTGCCCCATGCCAGCTCCTTCTTATCCTTTGGCCTCCATTCAAATTTAACCTCCTTCCATTGCAGCCCATTTACAGTAGAACGCACCATCCATTTTCAACTACTCTCTATTGCATCACTTTCCTTTCTCCTCCTAGTATTTAACACAATCTACATATATTTATTGTATTTATGTATTCAATTTACAAATATTATTTTTTCTCCCTCCCTAGTAACTGCTTAATGATTACTTGAGTTAATTAATCATATTTAAGAAAAAACATGGAAACATCATTTATTTATTTATGACAGAGTTTCACTCTGTCACCCAGGCTGGAGTGCAATGGCACGATCTCGGCTCACTACAACCTCCACCTCCCAGGTTCAAACAATTTTCCTGCCTCAGACTCCTGAGTAGCTAGGATTAAAGATGTACACCACCACCAGGCTAATTTTTGGATTTTTAGTAGAAACAGATTTTACTGTGTTGGCCAGGCTGTTCTCGAACTCCCAACCTCAGGTGATCCACCTGCCTCGGCCTCCCAAAGTGCTGAGATTACAGGCGTGAGCCACCACAGCCAGCCAGAAATAGGCAATATCTAATGTAGATGATGGGACTATGGACGCAGGCAACCACCATCATGGCACATGTATACCTATATAACAAACCTGTATGATCTGCACAAGTACCCCAGAGCTTAAAGTATAATAAATAAATTTTAAAAGAAAAAAGCCTCCTCTAGCTTTTCTAGGTCTGCTTAGAAATGCTTTTTCTCTGGCCTTTGCCTACGCACATTCCGTTTGTTCTACTTGCAGCATCCTTCTCCCTCCCTACTGCCACCTGCTGGCTAATTTCTACTCCTTTATGATTAAGCACATCACTTACCCATGACAATCTGCACCCTGAGTTTGGGCTAATTGATTCCTCTCTACGTTCCTATAGTATCCAGAGCATAACTGCTATAATGGTAATTATAATGCAGCGCTATCACTGTTAACTTATTTGTCTCATTTCATTAGTGCATAAATCTACTGAGACTAGGTCTTCTTCATCATTGTATCTCTAGTGCCTAGCTCAATTCTTAATACTGAAAAATAATTCATTGAGTGAATGACGAATAACAAATATTCTTTGGGAAAAAAGAATATTGCCTCAAGCTTAAGAGAGTAAAGTAACACTGGATTACTAAATCCTGGACATGCACTGGTTTATCAGCTTACAGTAAATATACACAGTAAATGACCCAAAAAATTAATAATGCAGACTCACACTGTACCTTTTATGAAATAAATAGGTATAAGTCCTAGAAGATTTTAAGTCGACTTCAAAATTAATAGATATGTGAAAAATCCTCCTAGTCCATCTGTCAATTAAAAATGAAAGTGCCTTCCTAAAGTGTGAATGACCCAACCAAACAATCATTTGCCAATGGAAGGATACTTTGTCTGAGCTTGGGGAAGAGAAAACATCTGCTACCTAGTATCCAATTGGAAAAATATTTTTACTAGAATTTGCAATACTGAATACTTGTATGTTAAGCACTGGCTTTTAGTAAGCATTAAATTGTATCTATTATTGTTATTATTTTCAAAGAATCTTAAATATTCCCAATAAGTATAGGAAGGTTAATTAATCTACGGCTGTGCACATGAAGATTTTTCATTCTACCTACTTCAGCCATAGGGTGTTTTAATTTTGGCTGTTGAAATTCCAAAGAACTTTGCAACAGCATGACAAATACACAAACAACACACACTACACTTACAAGGATATACTGCCAAAATGTGCTTAGCTTTGCATTGTTTTGTAAGAAAATGTCTTATCTTTTAAAAAATACTTTTATATTTTAGGGAATAAATAGAATTATTAATTAAACAATCGATTACTTTAATGATTATGTTCCAGACAAAGATTCAAAAACTGCTATGTGGAGGTTAAGAGGAGGGTAGAAATACATTTGTCAAAAATGCCATGATGAGACTGCCCCCTAGAGGTCAACACATTACACTGTGTGAGAAAATAATGAACCAAGTACTGTACAACTGATTAAAATATGCAGACCTGTTCGTTGGGTCTAGTGTTACTAAAAAGAATTTGGTGAACTAATATTCATATGATAATTTGTTTATCTTATGATAAATAAAGATAAATTTATTTTCCACCTAAGGCTATGACAAAGAATATGTCTTCTGGGACTTCGGTAGAAAAAAAATGCAGATTGGAATAATTAAAGAATTCATGTAAATTTAAATAAATTTAGTATTTTGAATACATGCTTAGAATTGTGATTCAACATTCAAAAACATGTTCAACTTTATTTGTACTTGTGAAGAATTAACATAGTAAAATATTAGCAAAATTATACTTTGAAATATGCAGTTTATACTATTTATTATCATTTTAGATTTTGGGGTAAGTGTGCAGGCTTGTTATAAGGAAATATTGTATAACAGTGAAATATAAACAGAAACTATCAGTTTAGATGTTTTTGAGTAAAAGGCAACACACAGCCATGCTTACCTGTAATGACTGAAAGTGGTTTTTCCAAGCAACTTAAAGTTCCTCTTTCTGCTACACTGAATAGATATACTAGATAATGATGAAAAGGCTTAAGATGTCCAATTATTGTTGCTGTGTTGTGTTTCTCAACAAACACCTCTTCTGATGTATTGTTTTCAACATCCAAAACAGTAACAAGGTAATGATGAAAAAATACAGGCTCTGGAGGATCCCAGTGTAAAAATATTTCTGTTGGGGTAACACGTGTCACTCTGAAATTTTGGGCTGACAAAGGGCCTGGGAAATAAAAACATCCAAAAAATACATTGTATTAGTGACATGATTTGGCAGAATAATCTCTCAATTTTCAGTATTTCCAGATACTCTAGCTTGGAAAGGAAACAAACACTGGGCTTCAGTCCTGGCTCTTCCACTTTCAAGTTTCACTCCCTGAGAAAATTACCTACCTTCTTCGACTGTAAAGCAGGAATTATATCAGTAGGTACCTCGTAAAGCTTTCGTGAAGATTAAATGAGATGAAGAATGTAAAACACTCGGCACAGTGTTTGACACGTGCTGTTGTTCAATAATTATATTACTATCCTTACCACCAAAACGGCATGTATGGCATTCAGTGATCACACATTATATTACCTCTTCTGCCTTGTCAGGTTAGAGGGCAGAAACTTTGTTATTCACCCTTCATTCTCATTATCACTGCTACACAGGCACTCATCCTCTTATAGAAATGTTTCCCTACTCTAACCATTTCATCCAGTGCCAGTGATTGTCCTAATGAATGCTTCCAGATTACTTTTCTTAATATAGTACCTTGCACATGGCCTCAAACCTATATTCATCCCCCATTCCTCAATATATATGTACTAACACATTATTGATTCTTTTTCTAGGAGCAACAGCTCAAGAGTTACAATAAGATGATTTGGGTTCTTGTGTGGCTTTGTTGCTTAACAAAGCATGTTACTCTAGTCAGTTTACTTAACATTCTGGAAGTTTCGTTTTCTCATTTCTATATAGCTACTCCCAGGGTTGAGGCAAGGACTGAATGAGATAATCCATTGAAAGTGCTTTGTAAAATGTAAAACAAATGTTAGAAACTATAATCTTAATGGATTTCCATTGCTTTTAAGGTCAAACCCAAGTATCTGAGACAGATACCCCTGGCATTCCCAAATCTGGCACCATCTACCTCCCACACTGATTTTACCTTCACACCCAAGTAAATTCTTTTGTCAATCTGCACAAGTCTTCTTCCACAAATTCTTATCTCTGCACTTCTGCTCACAACATGCTTTTTATTCCTTCAAGTTTGACTCTAAGCCTCTCCTTGTCATGAGTCTTCTCCTGTCATCTACTGTATGAATCCAAGTCAGTATTTTTTAAATGCACTACTGGTTGGATATTTAGTTTATTATTTTGCTGTATAGTTTTGTTTACTTTTAATTTACCAATTCTCTCCAGTGTGAGCCTATTAAAGACAGGGATACATAGCTGTTCCTTTCCTGCTCTCAGCTCCATAAAATTGAAAATTCCATAATATTGGAAATTCAGTTCCATAAAAACTTATTGATCATCTCCTATGAGACAGGCACTAGTCTAGCTGGTACTATAAAACAAATAAGACATAGTTTCTTTCCTCCTGGGGTTTGTAGCTTAACAGAAAAACCAACACATAAACACATTCATTATAAATTATTTTTTTTTTTTTTAAGACAGAGTCTTGCTCTCTCACCCAGGCTGGAGTGCAGTGGTGTAATCTTGGCTCACTGCAACCTCTGCCTCCTGGTTCAGCCTCCCAAGTATCTGGGTCTACAGGCATGCACCACCACCCTTGGCTAATTTTTGTATTTTTAGTAGAGACAGGGTTTCACCACGTTAGGCAGGCTGGTCTTGAACTCCTGACCTCAGGCAATCACCTGCCTCAGTCTCCTGAAGTGCTGGCATGAGCCATCGCACACAGCCTAAAATCATCAAATATAGAAGTGGGTTCAGAGTTATATGAGAAAACACCAGACCCTCATAAAATATCTGCCAATGACAGTATTAAAATTTTTAAAAATTGTGTTTTCAGATGTCTTGTTACTTACGTGTTTCTACAGTGAATATTGGACTTAAAGTAGTCTTTGTCTCCCATTCATTTATTGCAAAGAGTAAAAATCTATAAATGTGACCAGGGAACAGTTGGGTAATTGTTTTTTCTGTAGTATTTGGGGGCATGCTTTCAAAATGTTGCTCTTTTGTATAATCTAAAGAATATGTAATGATAATCTTATATCCCAACTTCACCCACTTATTCAAATTATTCCAAAACTTCAAATTATTCCAACTAAATACAACTTCTGTTGTTCCAACATCCTTTAGATAAAACAAAAAGCTTTCTTGCAGAGAAGGTGCTGAAAAAATAGGAAAGAGAATGATTTTTAATTAGAAATTATGATTCCATAATGAAAATAATGAAATAAATATTAAATAATAAAAAGATACACGAATATAAGAAAGTAATAAAAATAATTACATTCATATTCACAAACATATGGCAGTGGAACATGACAAAAAATCTTGTAAAGAAATAGTTTGATCCAGTTGGATTTTGCTGTAAAATGTAGCAATGTGTTTCATTCTTGGCTAGCAATGAAAAAGAAAAGATTTCATTTTTCTTAAGGCCAAAAGATGATCCGTCTGCCCATGTAAGAAGACCTTCTTTCTGTAATAAAATGAAAAAATTAAGCCAATTAAAAGGAAAAGTCCATTATCTTCAATCACTGCATTTTAAATATGTATATTTGAAAATTTTAGTCATAACTTTATTATAAAATTTTTTAAGATTTAAAAATCATCAATCCCTTAATATTTTTATGTAGATTTCCTTCATGATAAAGTAGCTGAAGCCAGGCCAGTTGCTCATGCCTGTAATTCCAGCTACTTGGGAGGCTGAGGCAGAAAGATTACTTAAGCCCAGGAGTTGAAGGCTGCAGTGATCTCTGCTTCAGCCACTGCACTTCAGCCTAGGGGACAGAGCAAGACCCATTTCAAAAAAAATTAAAAAGAAAAAAGAAGAAGAAGCTAGAGACAGAGTTCACTTTCATTCACTCATTAGCCATACATCTTCGGGCAAATTGCAAATCTCACAATAAGCCTCTATTTTCTCATCTGTAAAATGAGTATAATAATAGAACCTACATCTCACGGTTGTTGTAATGGTTAAAGAGGCAGTACATTCAAAGGCTCAACACAATGAGGCACAGAGAAATTATTCATTAAATGTTAGTTATTTCATTTGAAATCATCAAATAAATTACATGCATCACGAGAGGTTGTTGATACCTTCCTGCTAAAGGATGTCCTTGGTGAACGTCACCAACCCAATTTTCACAAGTAATAAATACCTCTCTAGATAGTCACATATCTACCCTCCTTGAAAGGGGTGGCGAAAAAGAAAAGTCTACGCTTTGACCCAATTCTCCTGCATCCTAATGATATTTCTGCCACTTATTATCTACTCTTGGGCAATTACTAATCTTAGAAACTAAACTTTCTCACCTGTGCAATGGAAATAATCACGACTACTTTGCATCATTTTCAATAGGTTTAGAGAGTATGTTTGTAATACACCAAACACATAACAGCTCCTTAAAAAATAAATGTAGTACTTATAGAGATAATGAACACCATGAAAACAGATACTATGTCTGTATTTTGGTTATCAGACCATCCCCCAAAAATCAAGCGCAGTGCCAACCTAGCTGTATGGATGAGAATTAAAGAGACCTGTTTCCTCTGGACATTTTAAAGAGCTTTAAAATGGTACATTCGAATTCCACCTAACAATGAAGAAATGCCATAAAAGTCTGCTTTATTGCATATGTATTGCTACAGTTTAAAAATAGGCATAGAATCAAAGACAGTATTTCAAATGATTAGGGCATGAGAGTTGGTCAGACAGATACAGGTTCAAGGCCTGGAATGGGTATTGATAAGTTATGTGCCCCAGGATCTCTCAAAGATCTGTTTTCCTTGTATAAAATGGGAATAATGATAGCACCTTACAACTATACGGTTGTGAGAACTAAATAAACGTTACCTATGCAGGCCTCCCAAAATGGAAGAAAGAGACTATTAATCTTTCATTCATTAGGTTCTTGCCGAGTACCAAATCCCAATTTGAAACTAGGAATGGAATGCTGAATAAGACATACTCTTTATCCTTGAAGTCCAGTAACAAATTTTAACTTACTCAGCACAGATTTACTTAAAGGATTGATTACTTTCTGAACCTACCATGGGGATTATGATGTAGGAGGTAACTTTGATGTCAACCTCAAAATATTGTGGTTAAGGGTAGCATCTGATGCATGTCCATATAGGCAACTGAATATCCCTGTGCCCCAATTTCCTGATATATTATGCTAACAATAGGAAACACTATATACACATTAAGGGGTCTACTTACAAAAGAGACTGACATACTGAGAGAGAGAGTCTGAGATGTCTAAGATGAATTGGGCTTCAAAGGATCTTTATTAGAACTTTATTCATTGCCTATTAAAAGATAAAGAAAACTCAAAAGAATAACTTTTAAACGCAGTTAAAGATTCCTAGGGGTTTTCCCAAGCTTATGCAAAGCTCCACAGGAAAGTTGCTATCAAATTGGTAGGATCTGCCTGAGATCACTATAGATAAGGATATCTCATAGAGAATAGATTTATCTTTGAGTGCCAGGAAATAAAAGCCAATAGATCGTCAAGAATAAAACACAGACTAGACAGAGATGACTATGTTAGGTCTTGGGTTTTTCTATAAAATGCTGACCAAATGAAGTTTCATGAGACATTCCAAAGTGTTATTTCACTAGTGTTAAATAAAATCACAAGATCTTTCTGTATTGCTTTTAGTAAATTGAGCTTCACAAGTCTTATGTGTGGAGTAAAAAGAAGAAAATGGAAAACATTTTTCATGTTTTGGGGGTTCATATAATTGTACTGTTCGCAGAGGTGAAAAATAAAGGAAGTGAAACAGGTTTGATTGGAGGGAGAACGTAAGCTCAGTCTTGGCAATGTTACAGTGTCTGCAAGAAGTACCAGAGGAATGATCAGAAGAAAATTAGATATATGCCTGGACTCATAAAAGGAGACTAGACAAAGAATTTAGGAATAATTGGTTTAGGTGGTAAATTGAGTGAAGAAATGGATGAGATCATTCAAATGAACTTAGATATAGTCTGGGGAATACCAAAATTAAAACAAAATTAGGTTTAAAAAAAGATGCCTATAAAATATATTAAAATGGAGTACCAATAGAAAGAGAAACTGTATTGAATTATTAAAGAAATTAATGAATAAACAATGCATGAATGAATATAGATAATAAAGTTTCATTTGTCACAATATATGTATTTCTTTCTATTTACTGACCTTCACATCATTAAGACCAGTCCATATTATTACTTGTTTGACCTGAGATATGAAAATATAAAATTTTTTTCCTCTTTATTTTTTATATCCACAAGGTGTGCAGAACTTAAGGATAATTCACAATGTTGCTGGGCTATATTCCATGGCTTTCTTTCCTTGCTAATTCTATAACAGTTATTTTTTAATGCTGCCCATCCTTGTGAACATGATCCTACCAAAAGAAAAATGTCCTGTTAAAGATGAATTCAGTAATATAACATTTCATAATTATATTTATTAACATGTATACAAATTAATTATGAAAACCTCATAGTATTAAGTGTACATCTTCCCTGTACTACTCTCAAGCCAATAAAAACACTAAAGCTGTGTTTATTAATCAAGTAGCAAATGAATTACCACCAGTTAATAGTTTTTAAAATAGCTTTAAGAATTACACAGAATTATTGTCCAATTATAACTTCACTAAAATTTTTTTAAAACACAAATGTTTTTCTAAGGAAAACCTTACTTTAGCTTGCCTTTCCTCTCCCTTACTTTTGTACTGGTAGCAAACTTTTTATCATATTTTAGGTTTCTTTTTATTTTGGAGTACTAGACACAATGCTTGCTAAGAATTCTGCTCTCCGATAATTGACTTTGAAAGTGTTTACCTTCCAGAAAAAGCTAGAATGCTACTTAGCTTTCATGCACCACAGATCATGCACCACAGAAAGACTGGAGAAAATAGCAGCCTGTTCAGAGAAGATACTGCACATCAATTCACACTGATACTCTACCAGTGCCTCAACCCAACATAGTCGGAATATGTGAGAAGGATCTTCTGAAGATCTTCGTCTTTTTTTTTACCCCCACAGGAGATAGGATGCTTAATTACCTTATTGTATTTTTTCTTACTATTTGAGTGTTTCCATACTTCACTTGTAAAATATATTTTGTCTTTTTTACTATTCCTTTAGGGGATATTAAAATGGGACTCCCAGACTGTCACAAAGAGTGTCTTGCCCTCATCAGCTATATGATTCTGTCCCCTTCTACCTGTTCCCACCTATGGAGGAAAGACATGAAACTAGGAAGACCCCCAGAATGGAACACATTCACCTTTCCCTGAAACTTTTCCTAATTTTGCTCAGGTCTGATCATAGATGAGTAATAGAGAAGCTTTAAATGGGATGAAAGATCAGTGTGTTTGTAATATATTGTAATGGATCTTTTAATACCTGAAAATCTTACTGTTTGTTGATTCATTAAAGTAACCTAAAATGCTATGGAATTTGTATGACCCATTGTCAGAGTTAAGAAAAAGAGACCCACTCAGTACAGTTTAAAGGGAGTGCTGGGAAGAAAATAAAGTTGGTAAGTTGGTTTCTACCATTACTCTTCTAAGTCCAGCTTATTCAGTAATCAGTCAGATACCAGAATGATACAGTCAAAAAAAGGAAACTATGCTAATTTTGTTTACAAGCAGTCTGCGGTGATTTATCCTTTCAAAAAGAACAATACAACTGCCAACTTATCTACAAAATACATAATAAATATATAATTAATGATGAACCAAATATATCTATACCTGTTTCAACTTGAACATCCAGTCTCTGAAATATGTTTATGAAATCCAAGTGTAACTGTTTGAATTCAAATGTGAAAGCATATAAAGATGCAGGTTTTAAATTACCCCACTCAAAAACCATAACATTATTTTGCATAACTTGTGAAGAATTATTAAAAGATATTGACACTGATATGTCTTTGGAAAAGGGCATGCTCCAGTTAAAAGAAACACTTGTACTTGTTGCTATTGTTTTAATATTGCTAGCTGAGATTCCATCTAAAAAGTCAGGGAGAATGGTTAGTACAGATTCAAATAAAATTGAATGAAACACAGTTACAAGATTACAAGATGGGAAAACATATTATCTACCTATAAAATATTTTCTAGGCTATATGGGAGTTTCTTCTACTCTATATAGAATGAATGCATTAGATTACAGAGCCACATTACACTTTTTACATAATCTAGCTAACATTTAAAATCTCCATCATACCTATCCATTCATACTAGTACACATAAAATACCAAAATTGAAAACTAATTTCTTACCTTTGTTTATCATTTTTTTTAAATTCTGAGATTTATATTATGTAAAAATAATACTATTATAATTTTACGGTACCATTATATACCTGTTAAATACTGTAAAATTCAAATTATCTGGTAATGAAAATTTTACCTTTTATAATAGATAATACAGTTGACATAATTGATCAACATATATATTACTTACGAGTTTGAAATAACTTTTCACTTAAAATTTGTCCATATCTCATGGACTGCAAAATGATGTGATAGTCTTCATTTTCCTCTACTGTTATTAATTTTTGATGCCTTTGTGAGTCTGTAAGAATACTTTTTACATTCTGTAAATAATTAGATTCATCTGCTTAAAAAATGTTTATTCAACATTATCTCTATGCCACTCACATTAAATAAAAATTTGACTTTTGTATATCTCCTTCATAAGAAGCAGTTTTTCAATACAGAATATAAACATATACATGAAATGTTTATTTCTATATAAAAGATATTATTTTTTAAATAATTACTCTCCTTTGGTATATAAATTCTAAAAAGACAGTCATTCCTATGAAAAAGTTAAATACTAGTTTGATCAACTACTTATTGAAGATATTTCATAAAATGCTAGCATTTTATATATTAATAAAATAAGAAACCCTGATAACTATTAGGATCCTATTTAACATGTGGTATTTGGTAACAACAGATTTACATTACGCTTACTTGTTATCAGAACCAAGAAAAGGTTTCTTACTTCTTGAGCAAAATCATTAACAAGTTGATATTTTAAAAAATAAAATTCAGGATTTCCTCCCTTAGGAAATTCATCCCACTCAATAAAAACTTCTGTTGTTTGCTTATTCATTGGTTTATAATGAAAATTTTTTGAGATCTAAAATGGAAATGAGAAGAAACTGTAAAAACCAGTAAAAATGTACTCTTCGTTGTTCTTTTATAAACAGATTTATTAAAATGACACCTGAAATATACCAAATTATAATTTTAAAACATTTCAGTGGTGTCAGTGTCTACACATGAATTACTCTGTCAGTTATTCTATTTATAACTTTGAAAATGTAAAGCAAATAAAATAAGAACATGGAAATTTAAGATCCATGACTCTCGAACTAGGAAACATGTGTCCCTGGGTTCAGGGAAGGGGAAGAGACCCAAAGTCACAGGAAAAACACAGCAAATCCTCCTGGAATTCCAATTGTAAACATTGGTGATAATGTCTACAAAATGGAATTACTTCGCAGACATTCTTGACAACACATTTGCAAAGAAAATACATGTGGGTACAAAGTGTTTGACACTGGGTCATTTTAGACCCTCATTTCATTTATATGTAATGAAAATATTAGCAAACAAAGTACGATACACCACAGGTTCAGGGACCCTTAACGCTCCCTCAATGACAAAAAAGACTTCAACTCTCAGGAGAGTAATATTCCTACTATTCCTCAAAATTCCTACCAAAAACGACCCTGAAATGCGCTATTATACCCTTTTTTCTAGATTCTGACTTATCTCTATGATCATCCAAGACACAATTTTTAAACAATAAAAATACATATGTGAGTGACACCTAGTAAAGAAAACTTTTTTTCTTTCTGTATCCGATATTTAGGATTATTTTACTTCAATATACTCCTCATTTTCCAGAATGATAGACTCAATGCAATCACATCCTGCCCGTTAGCTAATTATTCCAAAGAGGGTGCACTCAAAAATGTCTTACCTTAACAACATATTGTAACCAGAGCAGTAGAATAATTAATTTCTCCATCTGGAAAGTAAAGTGTATGCAGTTCAGTTGAATATGTATATTTTTAACTTCAAAACTAAACTATTGGACATTTTTTAAATTGAGTGTAGGTATATCATTTTAATGTCACATCTTTTCAATTTAGAGTGACTGCTCATCCAATTAACTGTTAAGGCATTAATAAGTGAGTGCTGCATAATTTTTCCACTAAATAAAATTGGAAACATTGGTACTTTCCAACAAATAACAACTTGTTTCTAGAAACTGCTTTAATTAAGTATAAAGGAGGTGTTGGAAATAAAATGAATTACCAGGCAATTAGACAAAATTACATCTCATTGTGTGAAAGTATTTAACCTCAATTAATGGAAATCTAGAACACCTACGCAACTGCTGCTTCTTTGGAACTAATTCCTTACATTTTAAAATTACACCATCATAATGAAAAATATTTCACAATACTGCTGATGAAACTGAAACTTAAATAGAAAAAACGTTCAATATTCATTTGAACTCAATTTATTTTTTAAATATATTCCTCTAAAAAACTTGCCTAGCATTTCATAGAAACGTGGAGACCCGAGGACCTAAAAACTTTTATATTCAACTTAAGGTACAAAGAATAAAAGAATACTCCTGTATTTTATATATGTTTTTAAAACTGAAAATACCATTTTAATAGTAAACAGGTCCCCAGGATCAATTTTAAAGCTCCTTAAACCTCACTCTAAAGCAAGTTTCTTCCTATAGAATCCTCTTTAGTTCTTATTAAGCAGGTGTTCAATTCAGATAAAATGGAATCCAGTTAAAAATAAATGCCTAATAATTAAATCCAGACTTTTCCACAAAACTACAAAGCTTTAACCTTGCCCATTTTGCCAAACAACCTGAGGTGTTTTATCCCTAGGGCTGTGATATTAATTTCCTCCTTAAACCTAAGCGTAAACTAGAATTTTGAAGGCTGTGTGCCATAATAAAAATGCGAAAGTGGAAAGCTCCTGAATGCCTGCTCTTTAAGTCCAAAACCCCACTCAAATTCAGTTCTGTGAGTCACTGTGTTTGCCCTGGGTGTGCGTAAAGACCCCTTGCCCTGACGCGCACTGTTTTAGAGTCAAAAAGCGCCAACTTTTGAAATGGGGAGAGAGAGGCAGAGGATAAACCAAAGGAGGTTTAAACAATAGTTCGACTGGTGGAGAAAGAAGGAAAGAGCAGACACCTGGAAGAAGTCAAAGTGCAGGGGATGCCCGGCTGAGAAGTCTCAGGTGCCGCGGAGCTCCTGCAATCCGCCCTGACCCACGTCTGGCCCCAGCCCCCGACCTGCAGGCGCCCGGCGCCTGTGCTTTGGCAGTTTCGCGTGCCGGGGCAACTTGTCCGGGAGGTGCTGGCGCTGCTTGGGGTGAGGCGGCCCAGGCTGCCCAGGATTCCTGCCTGCGCTACAGCCCACCTCGCAGCCTGCCTCCTTTCAGCCTCCTTCTCTCTCTCTGCTCCAGCTCTTGCTGCAGCTGTTCTGGCGGCTTTCATTTGGGCCAGTAATGCGCTCTCCCTGCGTTGGGTTAATTAAGCGATGGTTTCCATGGAGACAGACAGGCAGCCTTGGGAAGGGAAAGGAGTGAGAGGCAAGTCCCAAAACATTGAAATGTGGAGGAGAATTGCATTCTGCATGGAAGAAGGGAGGAAAGGGAAGGGCGATGAAGGAGAACGCGAGTGGGAAACATTGGCATCTCATTTAAAAACAAAACAAAATAAAAAGCGGAAGTCGACTATATAGCTGTGAATAGCCTAGTTTTGGCTTAAGATAAAATATGTGGCTTTGTATGAAGCCCCGCTCCTTATTAACGTACGTGTGTGTGTGTGTGTGTGTGTGTGTGTGTGTGTGTGTTGCAGCATTTGACAATGCTGACTGAACCCGGAGATCTCAGCTTCCCTGACATCTCCCTTCCCTGGTGCTTCTATTTGCTTAGTCTGCGTCACTGTGTCCTCTGACATTGCCAGCTTAAAAACTGAGTTGACCCGTGGTGCCTTCCTTAACTGTAGGCTATTTCATTCACTTTTGTGATTTCAACCATATTCAAGATTTCCAATCATTCCGTCTCGGATTTCATGTCTTTCCAGGGCTTCAGAGAAGTATTTATAGCTCCAAGATGGGTATCTCCATCTGGATGTCCCTACAACTGATTCAAAACCATATTTTCAAACCTAAATTTGTAACTTCTTTCTCCAGCCCATTTCCTGAGGAAAGGATCCTTCACCCAAACAATCAAATGAAAATCGCCACCTCTTCATTCTCAGAGCCTTTTCTCACCACCCAATGTCACTTTATCCTCCAAATCTCTTTGATTCCACTTATAAACTGCCTCTTAGGCTGATTAACTCTTCATTATTACTACTGTCACAGACTTAATTGAAAACTTTAAATTTCTCTCTCTCTCACACACACACACACACATGCACGTGTGCTCTTGCTCTCTCTGTCTAGAAAACATGTATCATGTTTAGGAGTTTGTACCTCAGTGCAGTTCCTGTGGCTCCCTTTATGAGCTAAGCATCTCTGCAAATTTTGTTGTGGTGAAGAGTAAGCTTGAAGAGTGCTTAGCAGAGCATAAATACTTAATTGAAAGACAACCAGCATTGGTTCACTGCAGCTACTGCTAATACACTAACACTTGGATTATATCTCCTTGTTTGATACTCCCAATCTCTCTTACACACTGCTAGCCAGTGTGATCTTTCTGAAATACACACATGATACTATATAACCATGCATGGAGCTGTGAATCTTTGTTGTCTATAATATACCTCTCACCAAATTCACTTTTCAACCACATCTCTCTCCTCTCCTCCTTGGCACCCTGACTTATATGTACTCTCAGTGAAGTAACGGGCCATAAACATTTACATCTCTGTAGATCTTTGTTTATATTGTAGCATACAAATTTACTTTTTATACATTTATGTCCTCAGCTAGATTAGGAACTCCATGATGGCAAGGACCATTATTAATTCAAGCATAGTTATAGATGTGAACTATATTTTCATTCCTGGGGATTCTGCATATCTTTTGAGCCTTTACAAGTAGAAGGTATTGGCCAAGCATGGTGGCTTGTGCCTGTAATCCCAGCACTTTAGGAGGCCAAGACAGGTGGATCAGATCACTTGAGACCAGAAGTTGGAGACCAACCTGGGTAACATGGCGAAACCCCATCTCTACAAACCCATCTCTGTAATTTTAAAAGATAAAATGGTGGTGTGTGCCTCTGGTCCCAACTACTTGGGAGGCTGAGAGGAGAGGATCACTTGAGCCTAGGGGGTTGAAACTATAGTGAGCCATGATCATGCCACTGCACTCCAGCTGTGGTGACAGAGTAACATCCTGTCTCAAAAAATAAAAATAAGAGTAGAAGATGTCAAGGCAATTATACCACAAAATGATCTTATCACCATTGAATTAGCTTCTAGGCTTTGAGAAATATGATCAAATTCAAAATCCATCAAGTAGATTGAATAATGGGTATATATTTTCAATATGGCCTTCTACCTCTCATTTGCTCTGTAAACAATTTTATTTTAAATATGTAGCCTTCATAACATTATCATCAACTGTTGTTTACATCAGTCTCTCTATTAGGTCAATAAAGTAGGTAGCAAGCTAATCAATAGGGTTTCCTGCAAAATGTTTTCCTTGCTGAAGAGATGTCCTTTGAAATAATGCGGATTTCTTCCTGCCTTACCCTTTTATTAGGCCCTAGTAAATTAAGTATAGGGAAATTAAGTGAAAAAATTTAAAAGAATTATGGGTTTTCACTTTCAAGAGGAAAAAAAAGTATATCTTTAATGATATTTCAACATGTTTATTCCTAAGGAAAATAATTTATTTGCCAGATGGAGAAGCATAGATAAAAGCCATTTAGGCAATTAATGGAGGTAACCACTATCCTATGATGTGAACTCTCTATTTTTAAATATGTTGTTTGGAATCTCAATTATATATCTTTTATTGTGTAAATAAAGCCCATATCTTCACCAGCTGTTGGGTGAATATGTCTTCAAAACCACATTGCTGGTAGAAATGTGACAAATATACAAGTAAGTACAATAACTACCGCTTTTCTCATATTCAACTTCCCGTCATTTATTCATTCAAAAATATTAATTAATTTGAGACAGGAGACCAAGAAAAATGGCCACATAGAAGCCTCCACTGATCATCCTCCCAACAGGAATACCAAATTTAACAATTATCTACATAAAAAGCACCTTCATAAGAACAAAAAATCAGCTTAGATACCAGCTCAGCTATAGTCAAGAAGAGCATTGGAATCTCCAATTCCAAGCCTTGGCTTTTTTTTTTTTTTTTTTTTTTTGAGGTGGAGTTTCACTCTTGTTGCCTAGACTAGGGTGCAATGGCATGATCTCAACTCACCGCAACCTCTGCCTCCTGAGTTCAAGCAATTCTCCTGCCTCAGCCTTCTGAATAGCTGGGATTATAGTCATCTACCACCAGCTAGCACACATGGCTAATTTCACTATGTTGGCCAGGCTAGTATCAAACTCCTGACTTCATGTGATCCACCCACCTCGGCCTCCCAAAGTGCTGGAATTACAGACATAAGCCACCACACCCAGCCTAAGGCTTGGCTTTTAGATGGCATCTCTGGAACCTTCCCTGACCAGAGGGGAGCCCACTGCACTGAATTGTGAGTCCTAGGCCTGTCAGCATTCACCATAAGCTGACTGAGGAGCCCTTGGACCTTAAATGAACAGTGGTGGTAACCCTGGCAGTATTCCCCATGGGCCTGTGATAGTGGTGGACAAGGGGAGAGATTCTTCTGCCTAAGGAAAGGCTGAGGAAAGAGTGGGAACAATTTTGTCTTGTAGTTTCAGTGCCAGCTCAGCTGCAGTAGAACGACCACCAGGTGGATTTTCCAACTTCAGGCCCTATTTTCTAGTCAGTATCTCTGGACCTGTCTGGGGCCCAGGGGAACTCACCACCCTTAAGAGAAGGATACAAACCTGGCTGGCTT